CGGTGAACTGTATTGGGACGACAATATAAGGGTCCTTTCTTCTGGCCATTCTTATAACAGTGTCCCACTGGCTTGGCACATAGATGCTAGTATTCTTTTTTGGCAAATTCAATGGTGGAATGTATTGCATCGCAGTCCATCTGTGTGTGGCCTGGCTCTAGAAATTTGTGGTCAGTTGTACTGATGTGTTCAATAGTGGTCACAGCATGTAATAGGGAGGCTGCGACATACTGATTTCTGTTCTGTCCTGAACAGGTATCTGAATACAGAACTACATGCTTGACGGTTGGTGGCAAAGCCTTCAGCTGAATTTGCAGACAAGATGCAACTTCACATGATCCCCTCTTGGCATCCACTTCCGACCATACAAAGCATGTGCCTCCTTTTGTGACTAAATCGTACACTGTAAAATTGTAACAGTTCTCTGTACATGTGGCATGTGTTCGGGCATGAGCTGTCTGTACACGTGGTATGTGTTCAGGCGTGAACTGTCTGTACATCTACATGTATTATGTGTTCAGGCGTGAACTGTCTGTACATGTAGTATGTGTTCAGGCGTGAACTGTCTGTACATCTATTATGTGTTCAGGCGTGAGCTGTCTGTACATGTAGTATGAATGAATGAATGAATGAATGAATTGTCTTTATTTCCTCCAATAATGTCGGAGAGTACAATGACTTATGACAAATATACAAAATACATGATTATGTACAAATCATATTACAATGGGAAAGAAAGTTAAGCATATGTATATATAATACACTGGGGCGTCGCTGAATGGAATACAAATCATAGGTAGATCCTGCTCTGTAGGTTCCACGAACTAATGTTCCTGGCTAAAATGTCAATGAACTGGGCCCACATGTGGATGTTCATGTTATCCACGATAGAGGTGATGCCGCCAAGTAGAGTGATAACTCTCGTGTCAACAGAGCTACCCTCCAGATTGATGAGTTGTCTGACATGTGCCATGTGTTCAGGCGTAGACTGTCTGCACATGTGGCATGTATTCAGGCGTCAGTTGTCTGTACATGTAGCATGTGTTTAGGCGTGAGCTGTCTCTACATGTAGTACATATATTTGGGTGTTTAGAGGTAGTACGTGTTCAAGCGTCAGCTGTCTGTTAGTGTGGCATGTGTTCAGGCGTGAACTGTCTGTACATGTGGCATGTGTTCGGGCGTGAACTGTTTGTACATGTGTCATGTGGTCAGGCGTGAACTGTCTGTACATGTAGTATGTGTTCAGGGGTGAACTGTCAGCACATGTAGTATGTATTCAGGCGTGAACTGACTGTACATGTGGTATGTGTTCAGGCGTCAACTGTCAGTACATGTGGTATGTGTTCAGGCGTCAACTGTCTGTACATGTGGTATATGTTCAGGCGTGAACTGTCTGTACATGTGGCATGTGTTCAGGCTTGAGCTGTCTGTACATGTGGTATGTGGTCAGGCGTGAACTGTCAGTACATGTAGTATGTGTTCAGGCGTGAACTGTCAGCATATGTAGTATGTGGTCAGGCATGAGCTGTCTGTACATGTGGCATGTGTTCAGGCGTGAGCAGTCTGTATATCTACTATGTGTTCAGGCGTGAACTGTCTGTACATGTAGTATGTGTTCAGGCGTGAACTGTCTGTACATCTATTATGTGTTCGGGTGTGAGCTGTCTGCACATGTGGCATGTATTCAGGCGTCAGTTGTCTGTACATGTAGTATGTGTTTAGGCGTGAGCTGTCTCTACATGTAGTACATATATTTGGGTGTTTAGAGGTAGTACGTGTTCAAGCTTCAGCTGTCTGTTAGTGTGGCATGTGTTCAGGCGTGAACTGTCTGTGCATGTAGTATGTGTTCGGGCGTGAACTGTCTGTACATGTAGTATGTGTTCAGGCATGAGCTGCCTGTACATGTGGCATGTGTTCAGGCGTCAGCTGTCTGTACATGTAGTATGTGTTCGGGCGTGAGCTGTCTGTTAGTGTGACATGTGTTCAGGCTTGAACTGTCTGTACATGTGGCATATGTTTGGTCGTGAACTGTCTGTACATGTGGCATGTGGTCAGGCGTGAACTGTCTGTGCATGTAGTATGTGTTCGGGCGTGAACTGTCTGTACATGTAGTATGTGTTCGGGCGTGAGCTGTCTGTACATGTGGCATGTATTCAGGGGTGAACTGTCAGCACATGTAGTATGTGTTCGGGCGTGAACTGTCTGTTCATGTGGTATGTGTTCAGGCGTGAGCTGTCTGTACATGTGGTATGTGTTCAGGCGTGAGCTGTCTGTACATGTGGCATGTGTTCAGGCTTGAGCTGTCTGTACATGTGGTATGTGGTCAGGCGTGAACTGTCAGTACATGTAGTATGTGTTCAGGCGTGAACTGTCAGCATATCTACTATGTGTTCAGGCGTGAACTGTCTGTACATGTAGTATGTGTTCAGGCGTGAACTGTCTGTACATCTATTATGTGTTCGGGTGTGAGCTGTCTGCACATGTGGCATGTATTCAGGCGTCAGTTGTCTGTACATGTAGTATGTGTTTAGGCGTGAGCTGTCTCTACATGTAGTACATATATTTGGGTGTTTAGAGGTAGTACGTGTTCAAGCTTCAGCTGTCTGTTAGTGTGGCATGTGTTCAGGCGTGAACTGTCTGTGCATGTAGTATGTGTTCGGGCGTGAACTGTCTGTACATGTAGTATGTGTTCAGGCATGAGCTGCCTGTACATGTGGCATGTGTTCAGGCGTCAGCTGTCTGTACATGTAGTATGTGTTCGGGCGTGAGCTGTCTGTTAGTGTGACATGTGTTCAGGCTTGAACTGTCTGTACATGTGGCATATGTTTGGTCGTGAACTGTCTGTACATGTGGCATGTGGTCAGGCGTGAACTGTCTGTGCATGTAGTATGTGTTCGGGCGTGAACTGTCTGTACATGTAGTATGTGTTCGGGCGTGAGCTGTCTGTACATGTGGCATGTGTTCAGGGGTGAACTGTCAGCACATGTAGTATGTGTTCGGGCGTGAACTGTCTGTTCATGTGGTATGTGTTCAGGCGTGAGCTGTCTGTACATGTGGTATGTGTTCAGGCGTGAGCTGTCTGTACATGCAGTATGTGTTCAGGCGTGAACTGACTGTACATGTGGTATGTGTTCAGGCTTGAGCTGTCTGTACATGTGGTATGTGTTCATGCGTCAACTGTCAGTACATGTGGTATGTGTTCGGGCGTCAACTGTCTGTAAATGTTGTATGTGTTCAGGCGTCAGCTGTCTGTAAATGTGGTATGTGTAGAGGCGTGAGCTCTCTGTACATGTGCTATGTGTTCAGGCGTGTGTTGTCTGTACATCTAGTATGTATTCAGACGTCAGCTGTTTGGACATCTAGTATGTGCTTAGTCGTGAGCTGTCTGTATATGTAGTATGTGTTCAGGCGTGAGCTGTCTGTACATGTAGTATATATTCGGGTGTTTAGTTGCAGTATGTGTTCGGGCGTGTATGCTCGGGTTTTGTACATGAATAATGTATGTATTTGGGCGCGTACATGTTGTATGTGTTCAGGCGTGTAAATGTAGTATGTGTTCAGGTGTGTACATAAAGTGTGCATTCAGGTGTGAGCTGTCCCTACTTATAGTATGTTCTCGGGCGTGTACATGTAGCATGTGTTCGGGCGTGTACATGTGGTATGTGTTCTGGTGTGTTTATGTAGTATTTATTCAGGCGTGAGCTGTCTGTATGTGTGGTATGTTTTCGAGCGTTTACATGTAGTATGTGTTCAGGTGTGTACATGTGGTATGTGTTCTGGCGTGTACATGTTGTATGTGTTCTGGCGTGTACACGTATGTGTTCTGGCGGGGTTTTATAGTATTTGTTCAGGCGTGAGCTGTCTGTATGTGTGGTATGTTTTCGAGCGTGTACATGTAGTATGTGCTCGGGCATGGACATGTAGTACGTGTTCGGTGTGTACATGAAGTATATGTTCGGGCGTGTGCATGTAGTATGTGTTCGGGCGTGGATATAAAGCATGTGTTCGGGCGTACATGTATTACGTGTTTGGGCGTGGACATGTAGTATGTTCTCGGACGTGGACATGAAGTATGTGTTCAGGCGTGTACATGAAGTATATCTTCGGGCGTGTACATGTGGTAATTGTTCGGGCGTGGAAATGAAGTATGTGTTCAGGCGTGAACATGAAGTATATGTTCGGGCGTGTACATGAAGTATGTGTTCTGGCGTGTACATGAAGTATGTGTTTTGGCGTGAACATGAAGTATGTGTTCTGGCGTGACCTGGCCCTACATGTAGTTTGAATAAATGAATGTCGTATGAACACTTACTACATGTACACGCCCGAATACATACTACATGTACACGCCCGAATACATACTTAATGTGGAGACAGTCCTAATTTGACAAGATACTAGATGTACAGACAGCTCACTCCTTAGTAACGGGACATGGTCATATTCGTATTGCAGGGGATAAAGAAAATCATTTATGTGAAAAATATTAAATTCCCGTGTGAAGCCGAGTTGGTGTCGTGACTGTAACTCGGGCTAGAACTGGAGTTCCGTTAGGGAGCTGCTGGTAACGTGCTTAATGAATATAATTGCAAGATATGAAAGACAATTCAAAGGCTTTCTGGAAAACTGCCTTATTTCGAATTTTAGTAATAAATAGCACGCGAGTCATAAAGGGTTGGCTTTAAGTGCGAGGCTTGAACATCAAAGCGGTTTGCCGTGGCTGTGTGCAAACAGCTCGCGATAATTCCTCGCGATATCGTCATCTACAGTCGGCTTATTTGAACGTTAAGCAACGATCTCCGCAAATTGTGCTGCGAGCGAATCCCTCTAGCCCTCTCTTAAATATATATGGTAATAGTTGCAACCAATACATATTTCTTATACCTTAAGTCAATTGCAGTAGTAATTAACAATGCCTTCTTCATAGCCGACACAGAAGACAAGTGATGCGGGGCTGGAGGCGGGGACGGCAATAATCCCGACTACATCGCATGATGTGAGTGTTACAACTTTCTCAACTTAATCACAGGAATGTATTGTCTCACAAAAGGCATTCCTCAACTGCTTTTGGGAAGTTTAACGACAAAAACCCTTGATGAATTAGTAATGGGTCTGTCGAATTTCCTAAGTATCTCTGTATCAAAACTGATATCACTTTGATCATGCCTGAGGGGAGAATCGACTCTTGACCTGTCTAACATACATGTCACCCGGAGGAATAATTAAACGTAGTTTACGCCGTTCCCAGTATGAGACATATTGAAGACGCGTCTTCACCCAAACCAAGCCTCGTATCGGTGACCACTCATCACATGAACATCGACAGGTTGTGATAGGATGCATCTGGATACAGGGTGTAGGAGACTGTTCAGTGACTTTGGCTTATTGGTAGGAACCCTTGTGTGAGCCACTGGAGGTGTGCCGAACCTGAACCAGCATATGAAGAGAAAGACAAGGAGAGTCGGGTCTGCCCTCTGTAATCAACCACTCTACTGTGACGGGAAAGCAACCACAAACACAGACGCTACGACACAAATTTTGAGATCAATTTTAGAGCTAGGCACTCAACATTATAGTACCCGTTTTAAAGTGTGCGACTATGGTGTGGGCCATCTAGCACTGTCTCAATAATGACCAAGTGTACGCGACGACGGAGAAAGGACTGCCAGTGGTTTAATGACAGGCGACAAGTGGTCTCGACTGATATTGCCGAGAGGTAATTGTTAGGAAAAGTCTCACTTTGGGTCAAAACCTGACAAATACAAGAAAGACTCTTGGGGAGCGTTTCCAATCGAAATTTGATTACAAGCAAATCTTATGTCTATATTACGAAGCGACACTCTGGCAACATGGCCGAGTAATTTACACAAACACTCGGAAAGAATATGGCCTTCGAATTCCAAAGGTTTCTTAAATTGGAAATATTTCTTTGTTTTTGCACATTGGATTTCTGCGTCCGAAGACAACAAGTAGAATTTAGTTTGAATATATGTATATTGGATGTAGACTTGCGGCCTGAGGCAGCGTAGCCTCACATATGTGATACATATACATGAGTACAAGAAAATGCGACAAGTGTGGTTCATCTTACTTGTGTTAATATTCAACGAAATATCGGAGTGTAAGAAGGGCAGACACAAGGGACGAATGAAAGGAATTCAGTGGTGGTAAGTGAACTTTACACATCCGATAATTCACAGTGCACACACGTGTTTAACACTGCATTGATTGAAACACATTATTCAAAATATGCTGTTATTTGGTTGAAAAGAAGTATAGAAATTTTTGTGTAACATCAGCAGGTAAGAAATGATCTATACGTTTATTTTAGTCAGCGTTTTTTAATTGTACCAACGACAAACATTTTATTTGTTGCTTGATCCGTATTCTATCATCGTTGTAGTTTTGGAATTACATTTGAAGATTTGTATGTCTTATCAGTCGATGTATATATCATACACAAATGATGAATAATAAAATTCTTCTGACTTGAGAAAAATGAAAACATTCTAAATATGTGTTTGCGACGCAGCTCAGAGAGCAAGTTGTTTAATATGGTCCCTATAAAATCTCAATTCACTTATTGCCAATTATCCCGGCTTTCAAGTATTCAACCATCCGTGACTATTTTCATAAAATCTACATTTTACCTACCCTTTGATCTTTTCAGGGCTGCTGTAATTGACGCATTAAAGTCTTGTCCCTTTCACTTTGGCTTCTGTTAAATTCGCCTGTGCAAAGAACGAAGAAAATTTTCACATTACCTGGAATAGATTTAATTTACAAACGTAAATGGATTATATAGTCCTTTTGAACTTAGCATTTTAACATTTGATTGAAAAAACAACACTTCGTTTATGGGAATAAATGGAATTGTCGGTCGTAATCATAACCTTGTTCATGCGTTATGAACGTAGCTAGACATGAGATAGTTGATGTGATACTTACCGTGAATATATGTTGACATGTTTAGTAATTTCATATAGTGATATTGATTTAAAAACCTAATCGATATATGCATTTCGCATAGCATTACCGGTGTACTGGCTCACACTGTAACATCCAGGAAGCATCCCTATCTACAAATTATCTCTCCATCACTATGTAGGCATACATTGGCAAGAAACAGGTATTACGCATAGTGCATTTCTAAAATTTTCACGTCACTTTGTACCGTTTTGAGGTGAATTCGTTCGCACTGTTATGCAATTGTACTATTCAGTGGTATAAAGGTATTACATGTAAGTTGTATACATTATATAGGGTATGAAGGGATCATATGCTGGTTGTATTCCAAAATGGATTTTCCTACACGCACTTACAATAGTAACATATTTCCTAGGCAAGCAATCACACATTGAGAGCATTGAACATAAAAAACAAGATAGTTGTTATGTTACACTATATTCACTGCCTCCCAAAGTAAATGACAGTGAGACTGACACGGATGTATTGATGGAGATATATGGCCACACACCAACTTATTGTTTCATATGACTACAGGTCACTGGCGAAGCTCGGAGAACGATCAAATGATTTGCGGTCATCTGTAACAAGGTTATACAACAACCCAAGTCTCCTGCCCCTCAACAAACGACAGCGTCGTCTTGTGACCCGCAACCCGGGGGCCATCATGGCTGTTGTAAAGGGGGCCAAACTCGCCATCAAGGAATGCCAGTACCAATTCAGAAATAGAAGATGGAACTGCCCAACATTTGCAGATGGACATGGTGGTTCAATATTTGGAAAAATCCTCCAAAAAGGTAAGTAATTATGTTCAGGGGCTTGTTTCTCTTCACACTGGATGGAGCATTGGTGCTTTGCTGTGGATGCCAATACTCATAGCGCACAGGAAATCGGTGAAAGTTATACTCAGTAGAGTACCATTTGCCTTAGGTGCATGCACCTGTTTTATTACGACTTAAACTTTCTGTTCTTTCATATACGCTGATCTGTTATCATAAAGGGAACTCCAGAACGTTTAACATGTGTGATGAGCGAGATTACAGGGAGATATGTCCATGATATGCAGTGGCACATACTTACATACTCATGTTCTGGTAATATACATGCAAGACTAGCTTGACCTGCATGCAGATGATATTAATATTATGGTAATCAAACATTCGTTGACGACCAACACGGCCTCACTCCAGTTTCTTGATGTATAAGTTTAAGTCTAACATAATATGGCTCCACTTGTGGCAACACACATTGATATAGTTACACCCACGAGTATAACAGGTAGTTAACATTGATTTAGCGAAAATACTGAATCTGGTAGTTTGACAGTCTCCCACGTTGGTTGAGCAGGTGCCTTTTGTTGAATACATAACTGATACATACACCACTACCGGTATAGTGATATACGTATGTACAGATACTGGTTGTGTTGTTCGTTACTTCCGAAGTAATATTATATTAGCCATTTAACCACTTACTGCTTCTTTTACACTGAGGTGCAGTCGACGACATCCTCGTATTATGTATATCGTATCTAGTGGTTTAAAAAAAACCGTGGGTACAGTCAAATCTTCCTACTATATAACATATAATTATTCTAAAACCTTCTGTACTCTTTTGAACGTCTGTAGTGTGTTTTACTCTTTCCTGTAAATATCATTACAGGCTAAAAGGTCATGTTGTCACTCCGAGACATATCAAAGGCTGTAGAACTTAAAATATAAAGGATATTATCAATACCAATTTTTTTGTTTAGCGTATATTAATTTTGACTTTACGGACATGACCACCCTGTACCCAGAGAGGAAATAATATCTGCAACATAAAGGAGATTTCAGTATGCCATTTAATTGTTATAAAATTATATTTTGTTTTCGATGCTTGTCGCACATTGTCGAATGCGACAACAGGTTCAGTGAAAGCATCGGAAACAAAACAACACATGTGTTGGAAAGACTTATATTTTAAAATTACATAAAGGATGTAGGTACATGCACATTATCACGTGGAGCTGATATATATCGGTGTATGTAACGCTGCAGTCTCATATGGCACATAACAGATGTGCTGGAATGGAATACTACTGGCACTATGGTTAACGTCATTCCGCGTATGAAAGAGGTGCCTCTCTTTAGTCAGTTTAAGATGTAGAAGTCCGTCGATTAACGCGAACACTACCTCCGCTACTATGTTCTATCATTTGTTGCTTGACAATACTCACTCCTGAATTAAAGCAGTGCTTCGTTTTGTTTAGAGTTGATTAAGTTTGGGTGTTAGTCACGTCCTTTTGTTTTGGATATTGAGTATAGTGGGTATTATTTACTGGAAAAAGGTTGCTTGTACGGGGTGTTGGCCGATGGCAAGGCGGGAGACAGACAGTGTGAGTAAACATTGCAGGGAGAGCCAGACTGTAATCCCCGTCAAACATACAGATCGCATGCATTCCCCTCACACAGGGACAGTTCGGTAGGGAGGGGCGGCAGTAATTGATACAGCATTTACTCAGTGCAAATCATGCCCACGATCCGATGGACTCTGAAGAAACGAAAGTAACAGCTAGTTTTCTTCATACCCGACATCACGACAACCTATTGTTTGATTGAGTTCACCCGGTGGGTTCAATTTTGTTGAATAAATTTTCTTTACAGAATTCCTATTTGGCTGTAGGTGTAGGACCACAGAGAATTTCATATGTAAAACCTGACAAACGATTCATCACACAGAAAAAGTCTAACTTCCAAATACAAATATATATTTTCGACACAGACGCAAGATCCCCCATATACGAGCAAACGATTCCAGACAGAAGATTCCGAAACACATCTGTCTTGATCAACTTCCTGTAATATTGAAAGGCCGCCTTTAACCATGATGTTTAATATATAACACTTACGTCCCGCATGTTGCAGCTGCTGGAGGGTACAGATTTAGAGATGTTCAACATCGCATTAAAATATGTGAAGGCTCTCTTCTATCAATCAGTGTTCGTGTACATGCGTGTTCATAAATGATGAATATCAAACGCAGTGTGTATGCAACTTGTAAATAGATGATTTCACGTTTGTACTAATTTCTAAAGGACAAATACAAGGTATGCATAAGACTAGTTATTTTGATTACAGTCATTGAATTAGTTTGTATCGGAAATCCAAATAAAAAGACTTTCAAATTATTCCTATAATTTATATTGATGTCTGTCCTTTTCCAATGTTAACAGTGGTTGTTATCAGGTGTCCAACAGTGTTAGTACCTTCTTCACAGGCGCATTTCACATCGCATTTAAAGGAATCGTGATTTGTGTGCAGCTGAGCTGACAGGTGAGAATCGATCTAATAGGTACAAATCTTTCATTCACATGACACACATGGACAAGCAGTGGTCCATGAAGACAAATATTCGCTCGAAATGCCTCAGGAAGAAAATGTTAACAGTATTAAACAAAGATTCCTTTGCGCGATTTGGTGGGACAAAACACTTGTGCCCGAGGCACTTTGGGGGCAGTCCCAGACATCGGGCCCTGTTATAAATTAGTCGCTGTAGTTTTTTTAAATAAACTTGATTCTGACAATTGGTCCTGAAGCTCAGTATGGATCTGTAGGAATATATTTCTTTGAGAGGCATTTTAGGAGTTGTGAAAATGTAGGTTCTATGGATAGTTTCTTGCAATACAGAAGTTGAATATCCAAGGAATATATGTTATTGACTACTTCAATGAATAGAGAGTAACTTGTTGTTTGATTAACTCTATAGCCACTATCCCAGTAAGGTCTTGTTTGTTTAGACTGTTATAGATGCAGTGTAAGTACTTACAAGTGGTTATAACAATATTGTGGACACGCAGCCGGCACCGACATATATCTGCTTACTTACAGAATCTAGCCTACTGTCGACGAGGTTCGCCACTTTGTGTTCAGGCCTATTGTGCGAATATGCAATAGTTTGTCCTAAATGCTACTAAATGATATTTTGTTTTCGAATCCTCCACTGTTACCACCCTCCTGGTTCTGCCGAAACTAACACGCAAGCATGAATCAAAGTGGCACCTGTTTTATAAATGTTATTCTTTTCGTTGTTCACTATACTTACTGTTGTCCAGAGCATTGTGCCCGACATGCTACTGCATAGATATTCAAGCATAAACAATTACACCATTCTTGCACTGTCTATAGCTTGATATTTGATGCCTACAAAAATGCAGAAAACTTGCTTAAACTGTTGACAAAAAGGCAACATTAGTAATATGTGCTCCCGCTTTGATATTTATAAAATGTATTCAATTAAGAAAATGTCATAAATGTTTTGCACTCTTAATATTTAGATGTCTGACGTTGATATATGTCTAAATGGAGCGTTCGAGAGTGAGTTATTCCACCGTCTCAAATTCTCGCAAGGTACGGGATATTACAATAATATGTAATGAAACTGCAGTAAAATATTTGCAATTGGTACAGTGCAGTCTCATACGAAACCTCCATGTACGTATACAGTGTCCCGTATATCTGTGTACAGTGATTATAAGTAGTATCAATACTGGCATTCCTGACAGTCGCTCTCTGTACGGGCATAATTTGTTGTCACTGACCGGAGTGCTGGCTTTCCTGACAGTCTGTGTACGGTGAGGTGAGGTGAAATTGGGTTTAACGTCGTGCTTGAGAATATTTCGCTCATATGACGACCTGCATGCGTGTGTATGTGTATGTGCGGCTGCTTGTACTAGCCCAGACTTAAGCTGGTTTTATAGTTCTAGCCCACTGAGAAACCATGCCGCAGTGAAGCATGAATACCTCACTCAGACACATTGTATTGCCGAGCGCCAGGCAGGGACCAGCAAGTACCATATTTAAACGTCTTTTGGTATGACGCGGTCGGGGATCGAACCCGCGACCTTCTGCTCTCCGGGCGGACGTTCTAACCACTACACCACGGAGGCGGTCTCTGTGTACGGTAATTAGTGTGTCACTGACCGTACTGCTGGCATTCCTGACAGTCGCTCTGTGTACGGGGATAATTGGTTTGTCACTGTCCGTAGTACTGGCATTCCTGACAGTCGCTCTGTGTACGGGGATAATTGGTGTGTCACTGACCGTAGTACTGGCATTCCTGACAGTCGCTCTGTGTACGGGGATAATTGGTTTGTCACTGTCCGTAGTACTGGCATTCCTGACAGTCGCTCTGTGTACGGGGATAATTGGTGTGTCACTGACCGTAGTACTGGCATTCCTGACAGTCGCTCTGTGTAAGGGGATAACCAGTGTGTCACTGACCGTAGTACTGGCATTTCTGACAGTCGCTCTGTGTACGGGGATAATTGGTGTGTTACTGACCGTAGTACTGGCATTCCTGACAGTCGCTCTGTGTATGGGGATAATTGGTTTGTCACTGTCCGTAGTACTGGCATTCCTGACAGTCGCTCTGTGTACGGGGATAATTGGTGTGTCACTGACCGTAGTACTGGCATTCCTGACAGTCGCTCTGAGTACGGGGATAATTGGTGTGTCACTGACCGTAGTACTGGCATTCCTGACAGCCGCTCTGTGTACGGGGATAATTGGTTTGTCACTGACCGCAGTACTGGCATTCCTGACAGTCGCTCTGTGTACGGGGATAATTGGTGTGTCACTGACCGTAGTACTGGCATTCCTGACAGTCGCTCTGTGTACGGGGATAATTAGTGTGTCACTGACCGTAGTACTGGCAATCCTGACAGTCGCTCTGTGTACGGGGATAACCAGTGTGTCACTGTCCGCAGAACTGGCATTCCTGACAGTCGCTCTGTGTACGGGGATAATTAGTGTGTCAC